CCGATTGGCTTTGATGTGTCTTTCCATGGGTCTGAGCAGCCCCCGGCCTGCCCCAGCCCCCCCGAGTCCCCGCGCCGGTGGCAGGGAGCATCTGCTACCCCCGCTCCTCCTGCCAGGATGCATTAGGATCCAGCGAGGCAGCCGGAGCCCGGGGCCAGGGCTGACGGGGCCAGTGGGGTTGGGGCCACGGCCGCAGGGTGAAGCAGCGAAGGAGAAACGACCTGCCAAGGAAATCAGACGCTCGTCAAGGGCATCGGAGGGAGGGAGACGGACAGCCCCCCCTCCCCGCTGCTCCGCGCGCCGACCAGCCGCAGAGTCGGGGGCTGGCGTGGGACCTTCGGGCTGTGCCGCCTCCCCCAAGCCCTGCTCTCACCCTGCCCCTGGGGTCAGCGGGCAGAGCTGACCTTGCAGGGAGCAAGGCCGAGCGTCCTGGGCCCAGCTGGAGACGGCCCTGCTCCCGGGAGGTGACCCCCACGAGCGGGGAGGCAGGGAGGGAGGCAAGCGCCGTGTCTCCCGTGGGTCCCAGCCCACCCGCCCTGGGAGCACAGGAACCACGGGGGCTGGTGGGACAAGGGTGGCAGTCCGGGGTCGGGGGGGCCGTTTGGTTTCCGCCGTCTCCTCGTCACGGGAGTCGGGCACATGTGGGCTGACAAGCCGGCGTCGCCACTCGCCGGGCTGCGCGGCTCAGCGGCCGGCCGTGACAGCATGAGAAGTGACAGCCGCGCGGGGCCCGGGGCAGCGCGGGGGCAGCCAATGGCTTTCAAATGCTACCCGTTGCCTTCGTGCCAGCCCTGAGCCCGCCAGGAGCGGGGGAGGCAGGAATCGCCCCCTCCCTGCCCGGGGAAAAGGGCAGCGACACCTCCTGACTCAGGACCCCCCCAGACACTCTCCGCCGTGGGGCTCCCGTGCTCCCGCCTGCACGTGGGTCGAGCTGGAGCAAGGACTCTGGGCTTCCCATCAGCCTCAAGGCCGGGGCAGCATCCCAGCGTGGGTCCCTGCGTGGCTGCAGGGAGTGGGGTCCCATCCAGCTTGGGGGGCTCTACGCCACCCCCTCCCCGTCCTTGTTATCCCGGCTGTTGGTGCACAAGGGCCACGGCCGTGTGCCCGGGGAGCCGGGGTGCAGAGAGGCGCTCCTGGCATTGCCTGGCACCGGCGCGTCCTGGCGCTGTGTTTGGGGAGCAGCACCTGGCGTGGACGTGCCCCCGTGCTGGAGGGTGGGGGCCAGCTGCAATGCCCGACCTGGTAGGCCTCAGCTCTCCCCAGGATCAGGCTGCGGGTCGAGGGCAGAGCAATGACACAGGAGCATCTCTCTGCCCAGGGCGCTGCCGGGGATACCCGCAGGGCACTTCATGGGTGTGCGGGAGTGGGGCCAAGGAGAGTTGCACCGTCTAGACTAACCGAAGCGGATCTAGATCGAGAGAGGACAAGCTATGGTGGGTCCCAGTCTGATTGGGATCCGTGTGAGCCCGGCCCCCTGCAAGTGTGAGCACACACCGCCCGCTTGCACGTGGGTGCTCACCAGGCCCCGTTTGCTGGTACAATGCTGCCATCTGCTGCCTGCACGCCGGCACGGTGGGCTCACCTGGGGGTGCGGTCCCCACGGCGTGCTCATTGCACACTCAGGGCACCAATTGTGCAATACACTAGCTTGGCACTCACACTAGTGCACAGGGAGCAGCTGGAGCTTCCCCTCCCATTGGTTGGGGCAGTGCCAGTCCGGCCCGGGAGACACGAGGCTCGTGGATTTGGGGCTGCGCTCCCTGGGGAGAGGGGGCTGCGACAGCCACAGACCCAAGGCCTTGGGGCTCTGGTGCCATGGGAGGGAGGCCGCGGGGTTGGAGCGGAGCCTCATCTAGGCTACTAATTAGTCTTGGTCTCATTTAGCATCTGGGCTCCTGGAGAAAGGCCAGCGTGGGGGTGAGAGAAGCTGGCTGGGGGGGCGTTGAGAGGCAAGTCCGACCGGGCACCGGGCAGTGCCCTGGGCCGAGGGCTGGGTCTCGGGTTTCGGTGGCTGGTGCCCGTGGGATTTTCTGGTGTCCTTCCAGCTTTCCAAGCCACTCGGCGTGGCGGGAACGCCAGCCTTGGGGCCGGGACAGGCCCATTTACCCCAGCGTAACGGGTTTTGTGTGCAGAGGCATCTTACCCTGGGATTCAGAGGGGGCAGACAGGCAGGTAGCCCAGGGCTGCAGCTATTTAGCACCTCACCACAGGGCGAGGGGGAGCAGGCCTTGTTCAGCCCCCCTGCCCTGGCCTGGGTGCAGACAGACGGCTCCTGACCCAGGGCAACTTGCACCGGGGCGTTCTTAATCCCCGTTTTTCCTTGGGGGGGTCTACACGGGACCAGCAGGGATGAAGACTGGTTCTCCCCAGGGCCGGGGTGAGAGCCCCCCATCCAGGAAGCCTGGGCTAGACGGAGAGGCGTCCCTGTGCAGAGCTGCAGCTCCCGGGGCCCCTGAGCTGCTTCTGTTCAGCTCCGGGCACGCGGCGGGTGTCTGCCTGAGTCTGCCGAGAGCCTGACACAGCAGCACGGCGCCCCGTCCCACCTCCCTGGGGGTGTAGGCAGGAAGGCAAGCGGAGCCCCCGAGGCTTATCCCACCAGGGCCAAGGTGCAATGGGACGAGGGACCCGTGATGGTGTTGACGGGGCTGTCAGCCCTGTGCCAGGAGCTGCAGCACCACGCCGGGACGTGCCCTCCACTGCAGCGCAGCGCCAAAGGGCCCTGGGTGCCATCTGCAAAGCGTCCCCTGGATGGGGGCGTCCCAGGGCGAGGAGGGGAGGGGAGGGGTGCCACGACCCATCTGCTCTCAGTGAGCCCATGGGCAGGGGCACCCCCTGTGCAGCTGAGTGTGCGCCGTGACAGCCACCGCGTGCGGCTGGTGCCGCTGCGCCTGCCTTGGCCCCCTTCCAGCGCCCTGCGAGCGGACAGATGGCACCCGCACCTGCGCGGCGCTTGGCAATCTGGAGAGCAGGCGGGGGGCGGGGGGCTGCCGGCAGCCTGCCCAGGAAAAGGGCAGCGTGGTCCGTGCCAGGGCAGGGCTGAGCTCCAATCCTGGCATAGGTGGCACCCCTGGCTGGGCCACGAGCTGCGGCTGGGTGTCTGCTGGCTACACCCAGGGCTGTCTGGGGGAGTGGGAAGGGTCGCTGCCCGCCAGGGCACCAGCACCTTAGGGTCACCCCTTCAAGCACACGAGCTGCAGGGGGATCTAGGACATGTGAATGCAATCCCAGTGCACTGGGCTGGGGGGTGTGCAAATGTGAGTACACCCAGAGAACAACGGGGGGGGATGTGGAGGCATGAGCGTACATTGTGTGTGTGCAGGTGTGGGTATAATGTGTACATGCAGGCATGAGCGTGCCATGTGTACGTGCAAGTGTCAGCGTGTAAGTGTAATGTGTATGTGCAGGCATGAGTGCACAATGTATGCATGCAGGTGTGGGTGTGCTATGTGTACATGCAGATGTGAGTATGCAAAGTGTGCAGGTGTGGGTGTAATGTGTGCGTGCAGGCATGAGTGTGCAATGTGTGTGTGCATGTGTGCAGATGTGGGTGCAATGTGTATGTCCAGACATGAGTGTGCAGGTGTGAGCAGTGGCTGCGTGCGTGCATGCAGCTCTGAGTGCACCCACCGCACAACAGAGGGGTGTGTGCAGACGTGTGCCAGCCCCAGAGCTCCACGTCTCCTGCTCCGTGCCCGCCACACATGCTCCGAGTGCACTCAGAGCAGCCGCGTGGGGCTCACTTCCCTTCGAGCACGCTCGTGTCTCGCTCACTTGCCGGGGGGGTCCACACGGTGCCCCCGGCCTGTCTCCCAGGCTCAGGCATCCAGGGTGGAGCAGCTGGCGGGGGCCGGCGGGGCTTGGAAAGCTCGGTGCAAGATTCCTCGCGCGTCCGTCCTGGCGGGGGGGTCCCGGCGCGACGCCCGGGGACAGCTGCCACATTCCTGCCGGGTGCGGGGCCTCCCCCGGCCCCTTCCTGCGGCCTCTGGGAAGGGGCAGAGGGAGCCCAGTGGGCTGGGGCATGGGGGCAG